TATGTGCCAATAAACACTTTTAAACCAGGTTTGCTGATGCGTACATCTATAATCCCAGCATGCAGGAGGCTGAGGCAGAGTGGGATCACCTTCAGTTTGAAGCCAGCCTGGGCTACATATTGAAATCCTCTCTCAAAGAACCAATGAATTAATAGGCATGCACCACCACCGCTCTGGAGCTTTTTCCTGTCCTCCTGCATCAGTACACCCCAAAGTAACTACTGGTATGACCCCCCCCCCCGAGTGTGCTGTGCTGTCCTGAGTCTTTTGTCAATGAATCACATGATGCTCCCATCTGACAGAGCTCACCATACTCCCAAAGAGACTGCACGTTGGTCTGGATTCTCCCCAGAGCCGTACAAGGCAGCGTCTGTTTCTTGTTCCCATTTTACAGATGAGGAAATAGGTCCAGGGGAAGCTCGTAATTTGCCCATGGTGTTCAGTGCCAACCAACTCTAAAGTCCTGGTGGGCCATCTGGAAGACGTCACATTACTATGATCAGGCAGAAAGGCACAGAGCCTGGCACTCCAAGCTGCTTCTGCATGAGACTTATTTTCTGCTGAGGCTGGGGCGAGGCCTCCCAGGCCACTTGCTGGGTCAGGGACACCAGCAGCTCAGCCCTTGTCATGCTGAGGAGACACAGCCGCACCCTGGCCTAGGCTGGGTCCCCGAATGTATTCTCTGTGTGACTTTGGACGCGTTGCCTCCTTCTGGAGAGCTTTTAAAAGAAAATTAAAATTCCTGTGCATAGTAAAGGCCATCAAGTTAGGAGACAGCACTGCATAAATCACTACTGTTATATCTTAAGAATTTTTATTGGGAAATTCTACACAAATATAGAAGTCAAATAAAGCAAACATGGTCTCTATGCGACAGTTACGCGGTGAACCACTTGTAGCTAGGAGCCAGAGCAAGAAGTGGGAGCCCCTCCAGTGGTTTTCACTGAGCCCTGATGGCTCAAGGGCTCACCCCTAGATAGGAATGGGTGCTCTGGTCCACTAAAAACCTCTGGCTTCTTGGTTCTAACGCGGCCCCTACCCTTCTGTTTCCTGGTGGTTGATCCTTGGCAGGGCGTTTGCCCTGCAGCGTCTCCATCCTCATGTGATTTTCTACCATTTCATTCCCCTCTCTCTCTCCCTCCCTCCTTCTGTTTGGATTCTAAGCGACACAGATCTGGGTCACAGTCCCAAGTCTGCCACTGCCTGTGTGATCTTGGATGAATTATTTAACCTCTTTAGACATCTTTCCTCACCTGGCAAATGAGAAAGCGACCCAGGTGATCTCTGAGGACCTTCTGTCTTTCACAGTCTGTCTGTCTGTCTGTCTGTCTTTTGGGGTTTTGTCGTTTTGTTTTTTGAGACAAGGTCCTGCTACGTAGGCCAGGCTGCCCTCAAACTTGCAGTGATCCTCCTGCCTCAACCTCCTGAGTTATAGGATCACAGGCACGTGCCACCACACCAAGGGAACAGTCTCTCTCTCTCTCTCTTTTTTTTTTCCCTGAAGAAAAAGAACACCGGGTACAACTCAGAGAGTCCTGGGGTAGATCCAGTTTTTACTGGATTTAGCGCTGTGAACTTGGCCAATTACTTCACCTCTCTGAGCTCCTACTTCCGCATCTTTAGAATGAGAATCCCAGCACCCGGTGCATAACACTGGGGTGACGCTGATTGCAATGAGATCATGCGTGTAAAGAACTTAGAATCTGGCGTCTCGTATGGACCGCACAGATGCTGTTATTGACTGCTTTATTGCCTGCTTGCTCTGTGCCAGGCATTGTGTCAAGTGTCTTTAAAATGTACCAACTCCGGCCGGGCATGGTGGTGCCCACCTGTAACCCCTCCACACAGGAGGCCGAGCGGCAGGAGAGTCCCTGAGAGTCTGAGGCCAGCCTGGCCTGCAGAGTAAGACCCTGTCTCAAAACACAAACAAAAATGTCACAGTGACTGTGAAAGCTATTTCGAATTGACTCAGGGCATCGAGGGAACCAGAACTGCACAACGAAGGACGTAGAATATTTTCAGGGGGACTAATGGCAATGTGCCTTTGATTGTAATATTTTCTTTTTTAAATAATTCCCTATGCAGTTCAGGCTGGCCTTGGGCTTACTATATAGCCCAGGCTGGCCTGGAACTCTCAGCAGTCCTCCTGTCTCAGCCTCCGAAATGCTAGGATTACAGGTGTGTGCCACCATGCCTGGCTACTGTAATACATTTTTAAATTTAAGAGTTTTTTAAATTAAACATTCCACCATTATTTTTTTAATCACATTGCTTTAAGTGTGCGGGATGGTGCGTGTGTGGATGGCAGATGTAAGTGTGACCGCCTGTGTGCAGACACTGCAGTTACTACCCACACTAGCTCTGTACTCTAGCACAAACTACAGGGCTCAGGAGGCCTTGGTGTCTTTGTGTCTGCCAGGGAGCTTTACACCCTCAAAGGCAGCTGGGAGGTTGAGCAAATCATGGGTGTGAGGTTCCGAACCAAGGCTCTGCAGTTGTGTGTGAGGGTTCATGCTAAGCATTTTCAGAAAAGTGGGCATAACTTGGCATTCCTGGGTCCGTCAGTGCCAGGGGTGTCTTTGTCTGCCTCCCTGGGGCTGCAGAGCTTGGCCCAGTGTGCCAAGGACCCCAGCTGCTGTGGTCAGAAGAGCCAGGGTTATTTTCTCAGCAAGGTATCCAAAATTCAGTGATGGTGTGGGACCTGCCTGGGACGCCCAGCAACCTGGAGGTGCACATGTGGTATGCCTGTCTGGTCTCTCTTGTTTTCCTGGACGGTGGGGAAGCCTTGCAGACATCAGGAGTTCCTCTGCCCACCGCCCCACCCTGCCTGCGCCTGGCATCAGGCCTACCATGGCAGGCTGAGGGGAAAGGTGTGTGCTTTGCACTGTCTGGCCCAGAAGCAGAATCTGGGCAGCTGCCCAGGGTGGGAATTCCATGTGTCTGGGAAGGAGCTGGCTGAAGGGGACCCTCTGGGCCTGCAGCCCGGCCTCGCCAGCTGAGCTGGACTTGGCTTCCTGCCGTGTTCAGCCTGGGGATTCTCAGAGGCCAATGGAGAGGAGGATGAGGATGGCAAATGCTTCCTTGTTTTTCTTCTTGAAAGTATGCCCCTCCTATTATAAAAAGGAATATTCCTTGTTTGTAGAGAGTACAAGTAGTTAAGAAAGGACTTGCTGATACAGCTCAGGGGCAGAGTGCTTGCCCTGGCCTCCATCCCCAGACCACAGGGTGGGGGACAGTAACTCTCTAAGCCTGTAACATAGGCAACCCTGAAACCAACACTCACACACACACACACTCATGTGCATGTAAGCATGTAGGCACAAAAGCAGTGTGCAAATACAGGTACAATCACACAGGCACACCCAGAGCACACACCATGTGGCAGCCGCTCCGCCAGTGCTAATTCTCTTAATCTCACAACAATGGGAGGAGGTCGGTACCACTATTTCTCCCATTTTGCAGGAGCCCTTGATCCAGGATCCATTGTCAGAAAGTGGAATAAGCAGGATTTGAACCCAGATCCATGGGCTTCATGCACTGTGACTTGAGGTGCTGTGTTTGAGTAACATTGTAATCAATGGCCTAGACTCCCTCTGAGAGTCTAAATTTATTTTTTTGTTTTTGTTTTGTTTTTTGAGACAGGGTCTCGCTATGTAGTACAGGCTGTTCCTGAATTCACTGTGTACCGCAGGTTGGCCTCAAACTTGCAACAACCCTCCTGCCTCAGCCTCTGAGTGCTGGGTTTATAGGTCTGTACCACCATGCTTCTGTCTATATTTGGTTTGGCTATGGAAATAGTATCCTGTTTCCACACTAACAAGACCCTGGACAGAAATTTGGATTTAAATTCTAGCTCTGTCGACTCTGGGCTCTATCTTTTACCTCTCTGGGGCTCCATTGCTTTGTCTGTAAAATGGGGGGTTACGATACCTGCTCTGAGGATTGGCTGAGCTTGTGTGTGCACAGCTCTCAGCCCTGGACCTCACACCCAGTAGGTGCTCTTTAGCTGAGACCTCTTGATTGCCCCCTCAGAGGCCAGAGGGCTTTGAAGGGACAGCAGTCAGAAAAAGACTTTTCTTAGCTGGGTGTAGTGACTCACACCTGTAATCCCAGCACTCGGGAGGCTGAGGCAGGAGGATATGAGCTGAAAGACAGCCTGAGCTACAGAGTGAGGCCTTGTCTCAAAAAAAAAAACAAAATAAAATAAAAGCAAATACTCTTCTGATGCCAGGTGACATAACACATCAGGGTCTGGAAAGCAAGGCGAAGTCTACAGATCTGGGTCTCCCCGTGGGGTAGGTCTTTCCTCCTGGGGTTCCTGCCTCTCTGGGCTTTATTCTTTCTTTCTCTGTCCTGTCTTTTCTCTTTCTCGGTCTGTCTCTCCCCTCCTGGGTTACTTTATGTTTCCCCCCATCATTCATTCTTCCCGCTCTCTTCCTATTTCTTTTTTCTTCTTCTCTGTCTCTCTTTTTCTGTCCACCTTTGGGTTCCACTTGTTTTCTTTTTCTATTTCTCCAGTGTCCTTTCCTTCGCCTCCCTCACCCTTAGCCATCTGCTTCTGCATCTCTTGATCTTGAAGTTGTAGCCCTCGAGAACCAGACTGTACCATGGGCAAGCACGGTGCCCATAAAGCAGGCCGAGAAGGAGGAGGAGGAAGAGGAGGAGGAGGAGGTCTTGCTGGGGAGTCCCACTGTCCTCCTGGCGGGTGGGACAGGGTCCTGACTTTGAAGTGGTGGCAGCAGCACACCCCAGGGCCTGGCTGGATTAGCTGCTGCCCTCTGGGTATTTCTTCTCATGGCCCAACCTGCTGATTTGCTGAGTGAGGAGGACGGGTATTGGTACCCAGACCACAGCTGGGTCAGGAGCTTTGCCAAGTTCCTGGGGAGCATCCTCTGGGCTGGCATTGCGGGAGGAGGACTCTCAGGGATTGGGGCTCTTGCGGTCACCCCTTCCAGGCAGGCGGCTCTGACTGTACTGGGCAGACGGTGACCCCACTCGCTATGCTCCTGCTGTCCAGCACCGTGGGCCTGGCAGGCCTCCTCCTCTGGGTGAGCCAGACGGCAGATGCTTTGATGATGCCCAATGCCACTGTGGTCCTGGCCCGGCTGGAGGGCACGGCTGTGAGGCCTCAGAGAGGCCTAGAGATGTTCTGGTACCCCAGGAAGCACCACATTTCTGCATTGGACATCGTGACCTTATTGGATTATCACAACCACATTCGGGCCAGCGTGTACCCACCTGCTGCCAACATGGAGTACATGGTGAGTCCCCATGCCTGTCCCTGTGCCCCCCCCCCCGCCAGCAAACAGCCACCTGCTCACTGCAGGCTGGAGCCACTGGCTTGGAAGAGCTGGCCCATCTGCCAGGCTGGCCCTACTGGCCAGTCTCTCAGTACAAGGGGCCTGTGCAGAGGGCAGGAATGTGTGTGCCCATTTCCCCGGCTAGGAAACTGAGGCAACCACACAGATTCTCCAGTAAATTTGGCTATAGGCATACTATTTATGGAGCAATTTTGATCCAAGGATTACAAATAAAACTTTTCCTGCAAGAGGACATTTCATTGCCACTTTCCAAATTTAAAAATGGAATCCAGAGAATCAATTTGCCCAAGGCCACCTGGCCAGGATTCCAGATCAGATCAGCTCACAGGGAAAGTTTTTACTTTAACCAACACAATACCCAGCCCAAGAATTTTGGCTCCAGCTGTGGAGCTGCAGGGGGTGAGTGGCTGGAGCTTTCCAGTCTATTGTCCCTCAGCCCAGGGATTTAGCAGACACACCCCTCGCCATTCATTCCCGGAGCCAAGAGGCAGGTCTGCAGCTGACCAGCACCTGGGCTGAGGAAAGCGGCAATGGCTGCCTTCAAAGCAGCAGGCCGGGCGGCGTCTCTCACCCTGGCCTAGCAGCAGCCAGACCCCTGGCGCTGGGAGAGGGGGTCTTGCCCTTTATTGCAGCCTCTCGGGTTTTGGGACAATGGTCCTAAACCGGCCTGTGGAGATAGGCTTCCAGCCTGTGCGGATCTCTTTCAGGAATGAGATGGCCAGTCCAGATCCTGCTGAGCCCAGCCCCAGGCTCAGCTGGGCCAGGGTCTTCCCCCGGGGTGTTCCTGTGAAGGAGGGAGTACGGAGGAGTGGGGCTAGGAGCCAGGACGGTGAGCCACTACAGAGGTGGGAAAGCTACTTATTTGTTCATTGACTGACTCATTTATTAACACAAGGGCTGGCCCACAGAAGGCCCCCAATTTTTCAAACAAATGACACATCTGCTGAGTGCCACTGGTGTATGGGCAGCGCTTACCCCAAACAGCACTTAATAGTCGAGTGTGGCTGGGACAGAGACAGGGAGCTGTCTCCCCAGGGGTCCTGGAGGCCGATGAGGGTCACAGGAAGGTCCCTTCCCTCAGTTTGCCCCTTGCTATGCTCTCTTTAAAAGGCTGGGAGTCAGACCAGCTGGGGGCGGTTTGAGCTCCTCTCAGAACCCCTAGTGGACTCCTGCTCATAGAACAGGCATCTGACTAAGCTCCCGTCACTTCCAAGAAAGCCTGAGCCCCGGAAAGCAATGACTCATGGCTTGTTTGACCTCTCATCATCCAGAAATATGGTTCAATATTTGCTGAATGAACAAATCCTATCTCAGAGGTTCGCAGTGTGGGAAGTGAGCTAGAATTTTTTTTTTAAGTGACACATTTTCCAGCTAGGAAAGTTGGGGAATCATACACTGGACAATTACGAAGCTGTGAAGAAGGATAAGGAGCATATTTTACTGCTGCCGATGTAGGATAATCACAGACAGCCCAGTTGAGTGAGGTCAGAACAGAGAGCCAGGCATGCTGCTGTCCCCGGCTGAATCTGTGTCCCCTACACATCAGCTTGTGCAGGTGCAGATCCTTCTGCAAGTGAACAAAACAGATGGGGTGATTGTCCCTGGGAGAGGTTACAGAGTAGGTGTGGGATGGTGCTGGGGAAAGAGGAGGGACTGTCCCCTTGCCCTCCCCAGGACATCATACAGATTAAATTGGTTATAAGCACTCTTCTTTTAAATTAGATTGTACTGGAACATTTTAGATATACATAACAATCACATTCATCACAGAGAATTTGTATCTATACATGATATAACTTTTTTCTTTCTCCATTCCCCTACCCTCCCCCAAATTTTCTTTGAGATAGTCTTGCTGCATAGTTCAGGCTGGCTTTGAATTCGTTATGTAACTCAGGCTAGCCCTGAACTCTTGGTGATCCTCCTGCCTCAGCTTCCTCTATGCTGGCATTACAAATGTGCACCACCATGTTGGGCACAATTAAAATTTTTGATGCTTACATAAACCCACTTTGAAAATATAAGAAATAAAAATTCTAAAGCAGTCATTTTCACATTGCCTGGGAGAGGTCACTTCTAGGGACTGCTGAGAACTCCGCACAAACACCTGGAACCCCGCTCAGGGCCAAAGACCTCAAGCATGAGGTCCAGAGAGGAAGAGGGGGGTAAGGGCTTAGCTTTGGGGTATGTTTGTGGTTGATCTTGAAGCCACAGATCTTGCATGAGCCCCATTTTCTAACCTGTCATTGAGCTTGCTAAAGAGTCAAGAAGGGCCCAAGGCACATGTGTGTCTTTTTCTCCTCCCAGGATGTGTTCGGCCTTTCTTTCTGCAGGTCTGGGATGAGACGCTGGCCAGGACCGCTAAGGCCTGGGCCCGCCAATGCATCTGGGACCATGGGCCCTCACAGCTGATGAGATTCATAGGCCAGAACCTCTCCGTCTTTTCTGGCGGGTATGTAAAACTCGACCCATCCTTCAGTCAGTCATTCAACAAACACACATCAAGCACTACTCTAAACTGGGTGCTGTGTTTGACAGTGAAATACGTTAAGGAACAAAGTAGACAAGCTCCCTGTCCAGGGGGAGCCTGTTCTAGTTAGGAGAAACAGGAGATAATGGGGCAGACAAACAGACATCCAGATTGTTTGGAGAGTGAGGGGTGATGTGAAGGCTCATGTGCATGGTCGGGGTGGGAGCCATGGGGAGCAGAGGCTTCTGGGCAAGCAGAGAATGGTGAGTCCGCCTTTCTGGCCCCACGTCTGTGCTCCATTCCTGCTTTGGAGTCAGAGGTGTGGTCCAGAGTTGGCTCTGCGTGGCCTGGGGGAGGGATTTCCACGTTTGGGACCTTTGTGCCCCTATCTGTAAAACAAGGCTTTGGCCTAGCTCAGATCTTCCCAGCCTTGAGGATTTTGTAGGTCAATAAACTCCCAAAGGGCATTTACAAGACAGCCACGCCACTGGCATATTTTTATTTTACCAAATAAAAACACTAGAACCAAACCCTGCTTGCTCTGCCTTGACCTCAGCAGAGCAGGACAGGCAAGGGGAGGCCTGAGGACTCCAAGCTCCAGGTCCTGGTGCCCATCCTCACTGACTGACAGCGCCAGCATCAGCCTTGGGAGCCCTGAATGCTCCTCCTACAACCTCAGTCGAGGATCTTGTGTCCTTGCTGCCAGCCAGGCTGTGGCCAGCCCTGAGGAGGCTCCCAGGGAACACAAAACAGGGTTAAAATGGAAGAGCTGTGACCTGCAAATGTGAGCTCTTCCAGGACCTCCTGATTGGGTCTTTTGAGTATTTGTGCCTCTGTCCAATGGGGCTGATTGAAAAAAAAAAAAACACCTCTCAGGTCCAACCAGCTGGCTTTCTGGCCTGTAAAGAGTTTCCAAGTGGACACCCTGAGCCTCTGCCCTCCCCAACCTCCCATCTCAGAGGTCTCAGAGATGGCCTAGAGCGCTCCCTGCCTGACAGCAGTGACGTGTGCTTTAATGAGCACTTACTATGTGCCAGGCACGGGTGAGCTCTCTACACCGCGCTCTCCTGGCCTTTAGAACATACCTGCAAGGTGAGCGCTGCTGGCCTCATCCTCGTCTTATCATGGAGGAATCCCAGGGAGGGGGAATGAAGTAGTTCGCCCAAGGTCACTGCCTAAGGTTGGCAGTGTTGGTGGCAGAGCTGCTTTTCCACCTTCCTCCAGCCCCTTCCATGTTCCTGACCGCTCCAGGTACACCTCCATATTGGAGCTTGTGAAGATCTGGGCCAATGAGAAGTGGAATTATGGGTTCCCGGTCCCGAGCGATTGTGCCCCACGCTGTCCCTGGTACTGCACTGGCCCTGTCTGCACCCACTACACCCAGGTACTCCTTTGCTCAGGCTCAGGGGCATGCAGAACAAACCTCCAAAGGGAAGGATGTGGCGAGGCATGGTGTCGCACACTTGAAATTTTAGTATTTAGGAGGCTGAGACAGGAGGATTGCACATTCAGAGTCAGCCTGGGCAACTTAGTGAGGCTCTGTCTCAAAACAAACAAAGGAGCAACAATCAGCAACAAAAACATCCTAACCAACATGGTGATGCAGTCTGTAATGCCAGCACTTGGGAGGCTGAGGCAGGAGGATCACTGTGAGTTCAAGGGCAACCTGGACTACACAGCAAGAACCTGTCTCAAAAAACAAAAACAAAAGCCACACTAAGCCAGAGAGAGCAAAGAATTACAACATAAGAGAATGAAAGTTGAGACCCAGTGGGCTTTGTTTTGTGTAAGAATCATATTTCTGGAAAGGTATCTGCACACTGAATTGAGGTGGAACTTGTTTTATTTATTTATGTATTTATTTATTTTGGTCTTTTTTCCTTTTTATCGATACCGGGGATCGAACTCACGACTGCCTGCTTGCAAGGCAGGCGCTTATGCCGCTGAGCTAAACCTCCAGCCCCAGAACTTGTTTTATTTTGTTCATCTTGGGTATTTTCTGCTTTCTAAGGCTTCCACTATCTTAGGTGAAAAATGCTAAAATCAGACTTTATGATATAAAAGTTTTAGTTATAAAATTTTAGTGCATTTTGAGTGCTATAATAAGTATGTAAATACTTATTATGTGTGAAAATCTGATACGGTCTACACTGCAAAGCAGCAGATCACGGGAGGATTGTGCATTCAAAGGGGCCTGGGCATCGCCGTGAGGCTCTGGACACAGACTTCCCTTGTGGGATGAACCTCTTCTTTCTGCCCAGTCTGCCTCTCTGACTCATTTGGAGATAAAGTCAAAAATCTACATCTGTGACTCACTGCAAAATATGATACTGAAGCCAAATATCTTTCCTATCTTTTCAGGATACATTATTCATCCACTTTACTAATGAAGATGCAGGTTGCATAAAAGACAGTCACACAGCAGGTGACAACGAGATGCTAGTTTAAGTCTGACTCCAAAGTTTGCTTTGATATGACAAAGATTTTGGAAGGACAGTCACTAAGAAAAATAAGGCAAAACAAAACAAATAGAATGCATAAAACACTATAGAAAATATTGCATATATCACTCGTGTGTGGCTAAATATTGGTTCTAAAACCTTTTGTTTCGTTTTGTTTTGTTTGCCTTTGTTTTTTGAGACATTTAACTTGTAGTCCAGGCTGGCCCTAAATTTACAGCAATCCTCCTGCCTCAGCTTCCTGAGGGCTGGGATTACAGGCATGCACCACCATGCTCAGTTTGGTTCATAAAACTTTTTTTGTGCGTGGGAGCGGGGGTGAAACCCGGACCTCACACATGCACATGCTCTACCACTGAGCACCACCTTCCAGCCCTACTTTATAAAACTTTGGTTCCGGGTGTATAGGTGCACACGCTTGTGCATGTGTGCATTGGGCGACAATCTGAAATTTATTTGTCCCTCATTGTTGCCTGCAGTTGAAAACAAGTTTGAGAAGCATAAATGACTCTCTCTCGGGCAGACTGCTGCCCCGCAAGAACTCACTGACCCCTCCCTCCTGGAGCTGAGCCCCGGGGTTACGGGACCCCAGGAGGACCCAGCTTACCCCTTCTCAGCTGCCCTGTGGTACCTCCTCAGATGGTGTGGGCTTCCTCCAACCGGCTGGGCTGTGCCATCCACAACTGTGAGCGCATCAACGTGTGGGGCAGCATCTGGTACCAGGCTGTGTACCTGGTGTGCAACTACGCCACCAAGTAAGTGCCCAGCTGGGGTGGGGTTGGGGGGAGCCTGCAAATTCAAGGAAAGAAAGACAAGCATAGTGAAAGGGTTGCTGGCCCAGACCGGACACTGTAGCCAGAAAAGCCTCAGCCGGAACTAGGGAGCTCCTGCCTCCCCCGCCCCTAGAGATTTACCTGTAACCCTATACCCCCCACCCTTCGAAACCTGCCCCTGGCACCAAACGCGTGCCAATGAAATACCTGTGCATCTCTAATGGCCTTAGGGCACTGCCCTAAGCTTAGGCTACTTATATTCCCCCACGCCATGTGTCCGAGGGAGAGATCGCAGGCCCCGGGGTGGAGATGCTACGCCCCAGGGGGTCGGGGGTGTCTCTCCCCACATTCCCAAAATAAAGGTTACTTATATTTTATACTTCTTATCTTTTCAGCCGCCGCCAGTCCTCCTCCTCCTCTTCCCCCCTCCACAGTTCTACCACACAGTACCCCTGCTTCTTCCTGCCGCGTAACCCCAGTAGCATAGGATTTGGGTAATTATAGGGAGTCAATCAATAGCCTTTCTTTCTCTTTTTTTTCTTTACCCAATTTCAGAGTTGGTGGGGAGGAAGAGGACTGAGGCGGGAGGGAAGGCGGCATCACTGAGGAGGTGGAGAGCGCAGAATGGAGCTTACCTGGCCCCTCCGCCAAGAGGGCTCACCATTGAATCAGACCCGTGCACCAGGGCCAGGCAGCACTGGGCCTCTTCTCCACAAGTGCAGGGCAGCCCCTGTAGGCTCAGCTGGAGAAATAAATAACCAAGATGGATGTGGTGGCACACAGGTATAATCCTAGCACTCTGGGAGGCCGAGGCAGGAGGATCACAAGTTCAAACCCAGCCTATGCAATTTAGTGGTTTAGTAAAACGTTTGTCTCAAAAAAATACAAAGAAGGGTTGGGATGTAACTCAGTACAATGTCCTGGGTTCAATCGCCTACTACTGATAAAAATCATTCAACTGTTTAGCCAAGAATACCTGGTTCCCAGGCAAGGAGATCTCAGATGGGAAGGATAGACTGAGCATGCTCAGCTCCTCCTCCCAAAGTAGCCAATCAGCTTGATGAGAGGGAGGCCAGGCACAGTCTTCTTACAAGTCTCTTGGAAACCTGGGGAAGAAGAGTAGGGAAGTTCCAGATCAGTGTGGTCTACAAATTTGTGATCGTCACAGATTCTCAAACAAAATAAGAATAATTTCTAAATCAGCTTGAAGTTTAAAATTTCAAGTCATACAGTAAGAACCACATTTTACTCTCACACACAGCCCTTGATTGTTTACAAGATACTTTCAGGGGCTGGGGATTTAGCTCAGCAGCATAAGCACCTGCCTTGCAGCAGGGAGTCGTGAGTTCGATTCCTGGTACTGATAAAAAGGAAAAAGACAAAAAAAAAAAAAAAAAAAGATACTTCCAGCTTGTTGGCTCTAAAGAAATGAAAGAAGTAAAGAAAAAGGGATTCAATCCCCGATACTGAGAAAGAAAGAAAGAGGGAAAGAGCTGGGTGCAGCGGTGCACACCTGTAATCCCAGCACTCAGGAGGCTGAGGTAGGGGGATCTCTCTGAGTTCAAGGCCATCCTGGAATACACAGCGAGACTCTCTCTCAAAAAATAAACAAACCCAACAACAACAACAAAAAAGGGACAGTGAGCCTGGGAAAATATTGACTCTTTTTGTAGATTAAGAAAAAAAATCTCAGAGACGTTAAGTAATTTATTAAAAGTTACAAAGCCAGTAAGTAAGAGAGCTGTTTCAAATACAAGGTTTTTAAAAATAGAGTTGCCAATTTCTTTCTGTTAACATTATCCTGAGGTTCTTAAAATTGCTTGTAGCCAGACCACAAGTTCTAAATCTAGGATATACATTATTTATTAGATTTTGTCATCAAGTGACAAAGTGTTGTGTTATGGTCCAGCTTTATCCAAAACAGATATATACAAGAAGCCAAATTCCATTACAAACAGCTTAAGAAAAGGGGGAGCAGGAGACAGTGCCAGGGCAGGGAATAGGGGCATCCATATGAACAAGATACATTATACGCACTGAAACCCTCAAAAAGCATGAAACTGGAGGAGGGTAGGGGTCATTGGGGAAATGGTTAAGACACATTGTGTGCGTGTACAAATCTGTCACGGTGAGACTGTAACCTGCAGGACCAATGTGCGCTGATGAAAAATGTACACAGCAAAGCAAAGAAGCCAAGTAACTTAAGGGCCCATAGCACATTTGTGAAGAATTGGCTATAAACAGCATAGTTGTTCAGATTTATAGGCTGTGGAGTTAAAACTGCAACTGCCAGTGTTGGGCCAGGGATACAGCCCAGTGGGCAAGCACGAGGTCCTGAGTTCAATCCCTGGTACCAAAAAAAAAAAAAAAAAAAAGAAAGAAAAAGAAAGTAAGAAAACAGAAACTTAAAATACAGAAATTTAATACAGTATGCAATTTTTGTCAGGTATGGTGGTGCACACCCATAATCCCAGCACTTGGAAGGTCGGGGCGGCAGGATGGTGAGAATTCAAGGCCAGTTTAGGCTACATAGTGAGTTTAAGACCAGCGTAAAATACAGAATGATACTTTTTCTCAAAAAACAAACAAAAAATTTAATTTCTTGTTGCCTGCAAAATGGGAATGAAACAGTACTTATGGAACTGTTAAATGAGGTCACCCCACTAACGCCCCTGGGCTCATAATAAACAGGAAACATGACTACCAGATGTTATGGCCGAGGTCTAGGTGTCCCCCCAAAGACTCATGTTAAGTCCTAGGTGGAACTTTTTCAGAGGAGAAACAAGCAGGGGAGGGTAAGTGTGTGAGTCGGACCCACGTGATGCCAGGAAGGGCCGAATGGCTGATTTGAAGCTGTTGATGGGATTCTCAAAGCCAGGAGTCTGCAAATCCATGGTCAACTGTGGCCTGTGGTCTGTTTTTAAACAAAGGTTTAGTGAAACAGCCACACCATTCTTTTACATGTTCTGTACAGCTGCCTTCATGACATAGAGACAATGGGGCCAGCAAAGTCTAAAATATTTACTATCTGGCCTTTACATAAAAAGTTTGCAAGTTGGGCGCAGTGGCCCAGGCCTGTAATTCCAGCATTCTGGGAGGCTGAGGCAAGAGGGTTGCAAGTTGAAGCTCAGTTTGGGCAACTCAGCAACTTATTGAGACCCTGACTCTAAAGTTTAAAACAAATATAAAGGCTTGGAGATGTATTTCAGTGTAAAGAACTGTACATTCTTAAAAAATAATAAAAGTATAATTCACATGCAGTGTGATGGCACACACTTGTAATCCCAACTGTCAGGAAGCTGAGGCAGGAGAATGCTTCGCAGTGAGTTCAAGGGCAGCCTCAAGTGCATGGCAAGACCCTGTCTCACAAACAACAACAAAAATAGATATAATTCTCATACTACCCAGCCTACTGAGGGGTTACATTAAATTATTAATATTTTTATATGTTTTAACCACTTTAGGTGTACAACTCTGCTGTTAATGACAAACACAGTGTTGCACAACCATGGCTGCTATTTCCAAAAATTTCATCAGCCCACAGAGAAACTCCATAACCATTAAGCAATAACTCTCCATCCCTCCTTCCCCAAAACGTAGTGGTCTTCTGAGAGTATTAATTCCAGAGCAGGGAATTGGTTTCAGATGGAGCCTGAAGATGGTGACAGTGGCAGCTGCTATATGGCTTAATGGACGGACTTGTCCAGTGTAACCCAAATATTGAATACTTGCAATCCAAGTATTGTAATCCCTTTTCCAATCCTCCTCACAATGCAGAAAGTTATATTTATAATTCCATTGAAACTTTATTGGAATCCCAGCAAGTTAATCCCAATCTACCACCTCCAGTACAATCCATGGTGAGAGTATAGACAGTCCTAGAGCTGACCCAAGTGAGGATATATAGACCAAGGCCATGACCCAAGGCCTCTCCCAGAATTTATTACCTTGTGAAAAAGGAGATGGTTCAAGCATGAGTGACAGGCAAGGAACTATGTGAGTAACTTGAACTGGTTAGCCAGGTAGGGTGAAAAACATCTTTGCAAAAGGAAGGGAAAATGACTTGCAGAAGGATCAATTAAGGTAGTAGCTGAATTGTTTTAGGAGGCTATTGCTTCGGTTTTTGATATGTAAACTTTTGTGCCCTGGGGAGTCATGGCTTCCCACTTTGAGGCTTTTATCCAGCAGACATTCCCGGAGGTGTGTGGCTCTGCCAACCCACTGTGCACCGATCTTTTGCAGAAAGTAGCAGGGGAGGAATCAGGAGACTGTCAGACTGGCCTTAGAGTTTACCCATCAGTACTTCAGCTGGAGTTATTTGTAATGCTTACAGCCAATTGAAGGGAGAAGGGAATGCCATAGCCAGTTCTGTACATACCAGTATATGGAATTAAACTAATGTTGCAGCAACTGTTCTGCATTCAAGGAGAGACGCTCAAATCGTCTCCTACACTCACCCCCTTGATTGAATTATGCTGTCTTGTGCATGCATAAATTACAAGGGATTTAGGTCATTTCATATAGCTTTCATAGATACTATTACATTTGTTTGTTTTGTTTGGAGGATAAAACCAAGTTTCAAGAAATCAGGTGGCAGGTTGGGGATGTAGCTTAGCAGAACAGCATTTGCCTCACATCTGCAAGGCCCTGGGCTCCATCCTGAGTACTGTGGTGGAAGGACAAGAAAGGAAATGACTTAGCTCATCACCATGACCAAAATCTAGGACCCGAGATCCACCTCCTCCAGAGGACGATTTGCCAGGCTTAGTGCAGCACCTGTCCACACATGATTCTGTCTCTAATTCTTGGTGTCCCTGTGGAGGGAGCGGGGACATCTGTTGCTTTTGCAGCTGAAGAAGCCAAGGCCTATGGATATTGACTTGCATGAGGTGACACAGCCAGTGGACGGCAGTGCTGAGATGTGAAAATCAGCCTGAAGGCCACGCACCTCACACTTTGCCATCTCCTAACCTTACTCCCCCGGGTCTTTTCTTTTTCAGGGGCAACTGGATGGGTGAGGCGCCCTACAAGATGGGGATGCCGTGCTCCGCCTGTCCCCCCAGCTATGGAGGCAACTGCTACAACAACATGTGCTTCCAGGGGTTCAACTACAATAAGTTCCTGGGATCCGAACCCTCCCAGCGCTTTGGGGCACCTGTAGCTGGGTTTGGCCCTCTAAGAATCCCTCCTGGAAGATAGCATCAAGGAATACTTGATTCTCAGACAACAGTCGGGTTTCCTGCACGGATGTGGTTTCTCCTCCTACATTCCTTTTTCTGTGTGTCTGGTGTGTGTCCGGGACTGCCCTGCCTGCCCGCTTTCCTTCCTGACATCTTTCTTTTGTGTGACCCTCTTGGAAAGACTGACATCCTTAATCGGCCTGATTCTCTGAGAGGTATGGCTGCATGGATCAGTGCTGGCTCCTCAGTTTTGTGGCTCTCAGGCTTCAAACCTAAGGCCGTCCATCCGATGAAAGTGACACAGTCTTTCATCAGAAATCCACCTTCACTTCCCCTCCAGTTCTAGACAACCTGGGCAGCCTCTGAGGGCTTGTGGTTCCCACCTTGAACTGGACATGTTTCAGTGCCTACGTTTTAAAACACACTGCAGTTAGCTTGTGGATACTCTGCTCTGACCCTTATTGTGTACTTGGACCCACCACAGGGTCCAGTCTGGGAGACAGTGGTCCCTCATATCTCCCTCAGGCCTCTTGACACTCTGAGCTCACAGGACTGAGAAGCAAAAGCCAAAGCTGACCTGAGAGCACTGTCTCTTCCTGCACCTGTCCTTTTTTTTGGTACCGGGAATTGAACTCACTGCCTCACACTGATCAGGCAGATACTTATGCCACTTAACCAAGTTCCTGGCCCCAACACCCATTTCCAATTCCTGAATCACTCTTGTCTTTTCCATAATCCTCTCTTTTTTGTCTTCCGGTCTACACTGCCCATTTCAGTCTCCAGTCTCTGATTCTTTCTTTTTCTCCCATACAATTTCTTTCTCACTCCAATAAACCATTTCCCCTCTCCTGGCTCCATCCCACCCCGAGATCATAACACACAAAAGTCCTTTTGTTTCAGAGATAGTAAAATCTCCTCCCTCAGACCTTGGCCTCCAGCTGGGGCCCACTCCCTGCCTGGCTGGAGAGAGCTCCGTCTAAGATGAAAAACAGGCCCTTCCTGCAGAGTCACTACAGACAGTCATCCTAGGCCAAGAGCAATGTGTCCCTTCTGGTCTCTTCCACTTCTGCAGACCGTGACCTGTGCTCCCCTGTCAACACTAATAAAGTCCTTCGTAGTGGCACTTGCTGGTGCCTTCTTCTCTCAGCTCCCAGGAGGATCAGAAGACAAAGGCAGAGGGTGGGGTGGGAAAGGTGAGGGCCAGGAGAAAGCAAGTCACCTGAAGAGCAAGGGAGGGGACTCACAGCCCAGCCCTGTTATGCAAAGGCTGGATTCCTGCGCAGGTGCATTTGCATGTTATTACTGTACCTCTGCAGAAGAGAAAAATGGGGCTTAGGGTGAGTGCTAATTCCTAAATGCTGGAAAGGAATGAAATCAGAGAACCAAAGACACTGTTGGGACATTATTTGAGATATCATTCCTACTGGGGGGAGAGGGATACAGGGTCCTTTCTTTTGCAAAACAATGGTGAATTTAGCTCAGCAGCATAAGCGCCTGCCTTGCAAGCGTGCAGTTGTGAGTTTGATCCCTGGTACCAAAAAAAAAAAAAAAAAAAAAAAAAAAAAATGGTGATAGTAAGTGTTAGTTTTTAAAAAATTATTAATCCCCTTATTTTGGGCATTAGGGGCTTGCCAACTCTATGTCAATTTCCCCACATGTTCTGGAGAAATAAGTGGTACCAAAGTCCTCACATGGACCAGTGCCGTAAAGCTGGTAAGGAACAGACACAGAATTCAAATTCCCCTTTCAGCTGCCCCCAAAGTTGTGCTATTTCAGCCCCCCATCTCCTTCCTGTGTCTGAGTGACTAATGAGAATGACAGCTGGTGCTTTTTAGCTGCTTACTTAGTGTGGGAGCACCCTACACTCCTAATTTTGTTGAACAGAATTTTAAGTGGTAAGTATTATTCTTATCCTCATTTATAGATGCAAAAATTGAGACTCAGGACGTTTCTTTTGAAGCAAGGTGTGGTAGCACAGGCCTGCGATTCTGGCATTCAGGAGGCTGAAACAGGAAGAGCACCTGATTCAAGGCCAACCTGAGCTATGTAGGGAGATTCTGTCCCAACAAACAAACAAACAAACAAACAACCCTTAACCTCTCACTCTCCTGCTTCTCTTAGGCACTCAGGGATTGTACACAGGGAGAGACGAGTAAGCAAAAAATGCCTCTGTAGGGCAGGAATGAATTCCAGGTGACCTCCCAGGCTTGCCACGTGGAAAGAAACAAGTTGTAGTTGCTCGGGCTGCTGTGCCTGGGACACTCCGAGGTGGGGAGAGTGAGAATTTGGGCCCGGGGTTATAACTGGGGTCTAGGTTTGCTACACTGCAGTTCCACTGAAGGAGAAACTTTCAGTGCAAGTCATCTGTTTCTTGTCTCTGTCCTAACATTTGAGGGCCAAGGTTGTAGGTCAGGGGCAGCGTTCTTACCCGGCATTTGCAAGGCCCTGGGTTCCAACCCCAGCACCACAAACAAAGTACAGCAACAACAACCTCACCCCATTGCCTCCAGAGATCATAACACACAAAAGTCCGTTTGTCTCCAGAGATATGTTCGAACTCTGTAAGATGTTATACTTTCTGAAGGCTCTCATGTCCATACTCACTGGCTCACTCATTTCAACCACCAAGAGGCCACAAGTCTAACTCTGGCTACATGTGCTTGCAGTGCCTCAGTGAGTAGTTTTGGTTTCATGAAATCTCTCAAAACATACGACGGGATACATGGAAAACAGCATCCGCTCTGAGCATGGTGGTCATTAATAGAGGTTGGGAACAGGGTATGGGCACAGGACTGCTCACACTCAAGGTAGCCTGCCACCTGTTTTTATAAATAAAGTTTTATTGAAACATAGCCATGCATATCCACTCCTTGTTGTCTACAGCTGTCTTTATGCTGTAGAAACAGACAAGAAGCATGACTTACAAAGCCCGCGATATTTACTATTGGCCCGTCATAGAAAAAGCTTGTTATGCTCTGAGATCTGCAATAGTCTCATATTCTTGAAGCTTATCATTCAATAAACAGAAGATGAGCACAAATTTATCCGAATTGAAATAAATGTTCCTGGGAGAAGAACAGGGAATTACTATAGAAGAGCGTAGTCTAACCAGAAAGGGCTCTCACAGTCTGCTAGATCTTCCTGCTGAGGGGTTTTAAAACCAGAGCTTCATGCGTGCCAGGCAGATGAAGAAGAAACTAGACTACATCCTCAGCTCTTCTTATTTCCGATTTGGAGATAAGACCTTGAGCTTGTAAGGATCACAAGTCTTGTAATAGCAGCCACTTGGGAGTTAGCGAGGACCTGTCTGCTATTACAAGACTTGCCCCATCACCCCTGGCTTAGAAGTAGGTGTTTTGTTGAAGGTGAGAAGCTGCACAGGTTCAGGGGAAGTAAGGGCTATGTGGGTCAAGAGCTAGAGAGAGTGTGCATGGTAGAGCGAGGGACTGAGAGAAGACCTAGGTGTAGGAGAGAAGAGCAGGATGATTTATTGTGGGGAGCTAGGAGGGGTGAACCACAAACAGTCATGGGCTTCACTTGGGGAGAAAAATGGAGTCATGGTGAGATCCTAGCATTGGAATGACAGGTCAGGTTTCCACTGGAGAAATCATTCTGACCACATCATAGCAAGGACCAGAGCGGCCGCTGGGAGCAGCCAAAAGACTATCTCAGCAGTAATCTAATCTCAGGTCAGAGATTAGAATGGGTACACATCTGTAATCTAGCATGTGAGAAGACAGTGGCAGATGAATAGAGTGAGACCTGGTTTCTAAATAAAAAATATAAATGGGCTAGAGAATGTAGCTCAGTCAGTGTGAAGGCCAGATTCAATCCCCAGTACTAGGGGGAAAAAATCAGTGGCTTGAACTTCATTGGTGGCACTGGAAACAGAGAGAGGGACCAACTTTTGTTGGGGAGGTTAGGCTTCAAGGGTGTATCTGGGGCAGAGGGAGGTGCCACAGTGCAGATGCAGGTGAAGTGAGACCTTTGATGGGGACTCGGGGGTCTGCTTAAGGTTCCTGGCTTTCTCTGTGAGGAAGGTGAAGTCTTATCCTACTAAAGATAACCGTGGAAAAATTTCAAGGGGAGAAAAAGAGTTGAGATAGGGGTAAAGACTAAGGAAGCAAGGAGCAGGGAAACTGAGGGTAGCAGTTCTGGGCAGTTGAAAGCCAGTGATCATGAATTATGATGGCCCCAGGAGTCCCTCTAAGTGACTTGCTGTTTCTGTCTAGCATTGACTGGCTGTCTGGGTGTAGACATGAAGAAAGAAAGACTCTTTTGTTCCTTCCAGCTTGGTGTTTTGTCAGCAAAGGAACCGAGAGGGAAGCAAGACAGAGAGAGACCAAAAGAATGGGGTGGGGGCTTTAAACTGGACAGGAAGACAAGGGAAATCAGGAAGAGTCAGAAGCAGGAGGGATAAGAGCAAAGGGCCGGAAACAGCCCGTGTCCGTCCATCAGTAGGGACCGGAAGTGATTGAACAAGTGCCCCGGAAGGAGACTGAGCAGAGAGGAATCTAACCAGTAGCTGCTTTAGAGTTAGGGGCTGGTTCCTCTGAGTTCCAAGTTTGTTCCATTGCTCTCATCTGTGCAATCTTGCACGTGTTGAGGAGTTTGCTTTTAGAATCCTCAAACACGCTGTGAGATCCAGCCCTGGGATGAGGAGAATGGGCAGGCACTGAAAAGTCCAGGTGACAGGTGTGTAACATGCAAGAGAAAGCACAGGAGGTCTCCAAGGCCAGAGTGTAGTGTCAGCAGGGCTGCGTGGAGAATGGAGAGGGGCCAGACATCCACGGTCCTGGAGTCTGCCACTGTGCTGCTCCCACCACGGGCATGCGTGTGCATATGCGTGTGTGTCTTTGTGATACCAAGGATCCACATCAGGCATTGGACGTCTACCACTGAGCTACATCCTCAGGCCCATAATAATAATCTCTTTGATGATCTGATTAAGTCCATCTCTCCCATTAGTCTACAAGTTCCAAGGGTGCCGAGGGTTCCGACATCTGCTTTATTTCTGTC